AAATTTTACTTGTACTATTATGTTGCGTAAAATACCTCGATTGAACTGCGAGCTAACAAATGAAAAAGTACAATACTCGAGTAATTCTTTCTGTATTGGGGAATTTGATCCTTTCGCATAGATACTGGATGAAAATTCGTACTGGAAACTGGGATTTGCGCGGGAGAATGTAATTAATTCTCGTCAAGTGAATATTTAGGAGCGCGAGCGGCATTTCACGTGACATTTCGCGACAATGGGGGAAACGCTCACGTCCTACCACCTGGGGACGCTGTTTTAATGATCGACTTTCAATAGAAGGTTCTTCAATGATATTGAAATTGACATTCGTCCATTGACAGCCTGCCATGATGGTCGTTCATTTAGACAGAAGTGATTTTTCGTTCAGAAGTACGCACTTTGAAAAAACTTTTTCGAAGTCTGTTGCTGTTTTTCAAAAATCTGTTTCAAAGAAAAAATCCATCACACATTACTAATTTGTATTGGTATTAGATTTTCCTGAATGAAAGACTTAAAATACTTTTGAAATGTTTTAACACGAATGGCTGCAAAAATCTATGATTCATCGCGGTGCGATTATACAGTTTTTTTTTGTCCAGAAAGAGGAACGGGAGATGCGACGGGAGCTGTATGTTTATAAACATTAAAGAAGAAGTTCTTTCATTATAGAAGTTCTTTCATTATAGACGATGACTCGTAAATTCCCAGCGAAAAGGGTGAATTAAAAGATCATTCTTATCGTGTGCAAAAAACAGTTCTTTAAGGATACATTTTCTTCTCTTTAATCGTTTCTATGTTTGAACAGTTAATAGCATGAAAAAGCAAAACATCACAAACTGACATAAATGGGTTACATCGAATCATTGTAAAGATGAAATCCGCGATTTACCGCACACGAGGTTTAAATTCCTGATACATATATTTAATTCCATATTATATAAAAATTATTTATTTAATTAAATATATAAAAATAATATATAAAATATAATATATAAAAGTTATTTTTTTTAATTAAATATTTAATTCTATAATATATAAAAATTAAAAAATTATATCAACAGAACGCATTGTTCACATTTTCTGAGATATTTTAATTGAAAAATCCAATTATATATTTTTAATTAACTTCATTATATTACGCAGGATATTGATAATGTAAAAAAATTAAGAGATAAAAGAAATTAATGTGTCCATCGGAATGGGTGAAACAAATTTACTAGCGAGTATAATTAATTTGCTTGGATCTTAATTTTTATTTTAGCGTAATGAGCAAGTAGAAAAAAAAATCTTGTACATTATTGTGTTATAATTTGATACAAAGAGAAATTTGATACATCATTTGTGAGGCGCAATATATATATATATATATATATATATATAATATTTTCTCTCTTTAAAATACAAAATATTACATAAATTACAAAATAAAATGGTGTCCATTATAATAGAAATAAAAAGATCGATATGACAGTTTTAGACCACATATATATGAGAAAAATCATAAAGAAGAAAAACTACTGTGTACAAATCGATTTATAATTAAGAACTTATGCACACACATTTTGATTCGCAGCCTTTCTATTATGCTGACCCATTTCCGTCAGACTCGTGAAACAGAGAAACAGTTAAATTGGTAATGGAGGATCCATAACAGGTCTGTGTAATATGATAGGAATTTCACCATTTGCGAAAGTCAGATCGCGAATTCCTGACATTCAACCGAGAATTTTCGGTGCGGGTAAGCATTCGTCCCGATGTCTCGCGAAACTGAAATTCCAAATGCATGTCGGCTTCTTCGCAACACTCGTCAGGCACGTTCGGAATTTCGTTTATGCATGCACATGATCATTTTTTATACAAGTCACGCCATTACTCTCGTGTCAAGCGACAGCTTAATTAGGTCTCGGACTACTTCCAATTGATTTTATGGATCCGAGACGCGCGTGCTTTAAGGTGTCCTTCGTAAGTTTCGTGCATTGTCTCTAGATGAGGATACTTATCGAGATTGTAGCGGCTTTCGAATAAACTTCTCGCACTCTCTAATAGCATTTCGGTTATTTCGTGCGAAAGAATCAGCGTAGTACGGTCACATGTGTCAAATGCTTTAAAGACGATATTTTGTAATTAATCGTTTAAAAATATAATTAAATATATTTCAGGTTTTATTTTTTAAGCTCTTGGAATTGAGATTGCAAAATATGTTTTCTTTGATAAAATATTTGGGAAATTAGTTTTAAAATATTACATTATATAAAATAATTGATGTGAAATTTTTTATTAAATTTTTTATTATATTTTAATTAAAACCGACAATATATGTAGATTGCGTGTCAAGCTTTCGATGGGGCATTTTAGCACCCTTGTCCTAAAATCGTCATTTCTTTCCATAGGATAAAGCACAAGAATATAATGTTTGAAGACGTGACCATTTCCAACAGTAACATCTTAGCTCTTCAATTAAATTTCACATAGAAATTGTGCCGATGCAACTTCCACCGCCGAATCTTGCTCGGTGACCTAAATTCAAGCGCTCACACGCTCGATTAATTAGTCTCCACGAGTGATACCCTTCTCTCCTACGACAATATCTGAAACACGAGTTCTACAATCATATTTTGAGTTTTGAATTTCAAATTACATTGCACTCGAAAAGCGCGCCATTTCCATTTTTCTTCGTTTTTCCTTTTTTTAAATAATTGTTTTACATTTGCTGAAAAATCGTTACCTTTTTCTATTTTATATATTTATGAAAATATACAAAACAAAAGGAAAAAAATAGAGAGATTTAATACATATATTTTATACAATATCAAATTATTTTAAATAAACACATTCATACATTTTTTCAAGCAAAAATTGTTCTCTGTAATCTCATTAAAATGAATTACATGTTTTTATTTCGAATATTTTAATAGAATAGCAGAGGGATTTGTTATGACGTTTATATAACGCATTTGACGGTTTAAAACATAATGCTAGGTAATATAATCGGATAAATGCTATTACATTGATATAATGAGATGGGAATATTCATAATATCCATAGCGTGTGTCTTATGTTTTCCGAGAATTTGATAAATATTCCATATAATAGAAGCCATAGATACCACATTGTATTTTAATTTTATTATAATCTGAAGATTATCTTGTTTTACTTTGGTTTATTGTTAGATGTGAAATGCTGTCAATTTAAATTTATACATTCATAATTATTAAATATTTAAATATAATTTGTTTAAATCTTAATTTTATGAATAGAAATCGTTTTAAATTTTTACTGCAAAGAAAAATCAATTTTAAATTAGTACAGAAATCTGCAAATGAAATGATTTTAGAAAGACATCTTATGAATAAACCGTATTAGACCCGATGTAATTGTTTGATATTATGGTATATTTTGTCCATCGCTGTAACGTCAAGATAGAGCCAAAGTTTCCCGCAAATCCGTGCCAAAATCGTTTAATCGTACCTTGCTCTGTTTGCAATTGATCCTATCGATGCCTTCAGGGTAGGTCAGAATGTCCTTTGTGGTGTCCAATACTGCGAATGCTTCGCATTGTCTCATTAAAATGAAGGAATATTTAGATTGCACAATTAATTTCTATTCGCTAGTACATGTCTATCATATTTTTGCAAATGAAGATAAAACTTAAACAAAAGTTTTCAATCTGAAAAATCCATCTTCAAATTATCTATAAATTTAAAAATAAGAGATGATACAAAATACGTGTGTATGTGTGTGTGTGTGTGTATATATTTAATTTTTTAAAAATAATTTTAACGTTAGTTTTTTTACAGTTTTTATAGACTCGAAATGAATAAAATGATTAAAAGATAATTAAATTTAAGTGTATATATAATATATAAAATCATTGCCTAAGTAAAAAATCTATCTTTCTTGCGAGACTCGATTTTCCACACTTTGATCGCAATTATATCTCTGGTGTATCAGGCGTGTCTCTCATTTTGTAATCTAGTAATAAACTTCTTAATAGACACGATCGATTCGTTATGCAGATGCCGGGCATTACATCAGGCTGTCGTCGCAAATTAAAGAATGCTCTCTCATACTTTGAAGAAAACACGAAGAGTTGAAATGAGAAAGAGAAGTGATTAAGGGCAAACGAGCGTGTAATCAAGAAATATCACGCTATCGAAAAACGGATGATAATTACTGGCAAAACGTTCGATCGATTTCTCGGTGGGAAAGTCCGAGGGATCGCGCCAAGTTATTTCACCGGCGGCGAGCCTTGAAACGCCGATCGATCATTCGAAGGATAGCAACGCTACCTACCTCGCGAACCCTTCGAGATACGTGAACGCCCTTGGCCCGATTCGCGCCTTTAACAAACTCGAAAAAGCAACTCTCGGCTTTTCCCGTGGCCAGGCTCCCTCGAATCCTTACGCAATAAGAGCTCGGATTATCGAGAAATTACGCGCTGCACCGTGTGATTCAACCGGACCCGACGTGTACAAATCTCCTCCGCAGATTTTCGCCGATTAATCCGATTTCTGAACAGGCCGCGGAAGCTTACTTCCCGAGGAAATTTCAATTAAAGTTGTAACCGTTCGACTCGCCGTACCTGCTCACACCCGGTACAAGATCACGTGATCGCGAGCGAAATCAAGAATAGCGCGTTAATCCGGATTTCACTCTCGAACTTGCAGCAACGTCATGCACCTCCTAATCTAGCGTACCCGAGCAAAGTAATATCAACGATGGAATTATCTCGATGTCTACACATTTCCGAGTAGATTTTACTGAGATTAATGTAAAACAAATCCATGTAACTCATAACGAAGATAGAGCTTGAATGCCAATCATTTCCGAGATCTCTCGAATATCGAATCCAAACAGAAGAAAAAACAAAATACGACAAAGTAATCAAGACGCAATAATTTTGAATATATCGTCAATATATTGTCATATATTGACATTTCATCGGCGATAATTTTTTTTTTTAATTAATACGATTAAAATATAAAATCACAGATAAAGTTACTTGCAGGGAAATAAAATTGAAATTATAATCACATAATATGTGATGTACTCGATCGATTCGAATATTGTAACAATTATAATGACTTAATTAAGTGCGAGGCATCCAAGAGGAGAAATCGCACGAAAACAAAACTGTAAGTAATGTACGTGGGAAATGAGGCGTGCTGAAAGTTCGCTACAAGTGAAAACGCGTGAAGAAGCCTAAGAAGCCTGCTCGTTGACAGCCGTGTCGATAACCTCGGAAATCGATCCACCTGCCGTGATCGCGATACCTGTTCCCTCACGTACGTTTAATGTAACCTTCCATTTATGTGAGACACGGAACGTGACATCTCATAGAAACGAGCATGAGGAATACGTGCTCTCGCTCGAGTTAGCTGGCCATAATCTTCGAAACGTGAACTTTGACGTGAAAGATGAAAAGTTTTTCCGTGGAATATTTGCTCAACCGAAACGCATTTTGAAAATCTACAGCTTGCGCTACTCTTTTGCCATGGAACGGCTGCGTTATTATAATCTTATCGCGCGAGGAGTCTAGGAATAAAACGTCCTTTCGAAAGAGCATTATCAGCTATTAAAACTTTGGAAATTCTGCGTGAGATTTGGGGGAAAAGTAAATTTGAAATTTACATTTCCAGTTTTTTTATGTTAATTATCAAGTTTTAATGAAGATTTCACCAAGGACCGAGGTATCTCCGATTTGTTATTTCAGTAATTATACGAACTTCGCGCAAGGGTACGCAAAATGGAATCTTGGAAGCGGGACGCTAAAAAACGAGAGCCTCTAAAAGCGGATCGATGAGAGGGACGTTGGTTGAGAAACATACCGCGTTTCCGCTATCTGCACTAGCAGAGACACCGTATTTTTAAAGCCAACGAGAGATGCGTTTATTTGGAGTCGTGACAAGGAATTTAAAATTGAAATTGCTCGGAAGCGACGCGTTACCGTCGGCACAATCAGCTTAATCGTCCCAGGAGGAGGACTCCATTTCTTTACGCATTCGCATAATTTAGCGGAGCTTAAAAACATTCTTTCCGACAAACGTCTCGGAGAGCGTCTTGAAGAAATAATAAAAGATAAAAGTGTTGAAAAATTCCGCAGCGGAGAGTTTGCTAGAAGCCGGAGCGGTGTCGAGGAAACTTAATCGATGCGGCACGAAGCGCGAAGGAGAAAAGTACACGAATAGCTCGAGTCGCTTGTGACGCGCGGCGATATATACGTCGTTTCTCCCCGCGGAAGGACTACGGGGGTAGGTTGTAAAATTTACGACGAGGGAACAACACCGCGGCTGGAAATCGCCCCGGGAGGAAACGTGCGCCCGTAAAAATTGTACAGCGCGAAAGCTCGGAAGGGAGCACAAGTTACCAGGCACGCGGTACTCGCTTCTCTCTTCTAAAACGAGACCGCGCGCGGAGTAGGAAAGAAGAGAGAAGATCGATCGCCGTCGACCGGGAATCTCTCTCTCCGAATCGGTGCCCGACTAAGCGAGAGAGTGGAAGCGCCAGAGGAGGGCCCGACGGCGCGCAAGAGCGGCCTCGTACGCGGTCTCGTCCGCCGATTGAGCAGCGGGGGTGGTCGACCGGGTCACCCCGTGATCGCGTCGTGCGTCGAGCGCGGCAACGGGGGAAACGGGGGGCCCGGGAGGGAGTGCGGGCCCGGCAGGCCCGCCGGCGGGGGCGGCGACGAGGCCGAGACGAGCCCCAGCGGCGATCGCGCCCTCGCGGTGGGACCCGGTAGCACCACGGTGTCCGCATCCGCAGGGACCCCCTCTGGCCGCGGTACCCCGAGCCGACGGCCCAGCCGCGATCTAAGCCCCTCGAAGAAGCCGTCGGCGTCGTCGGCGACCGGCCAGCAGGATGCGGTGGCCAGCCACGGGGGCGGAGGTGGTGCCGGTACCGCGTCGTCGTCGTCGTCCGGTCAGGATTGGCGGAAGCTAGTCGGCAGCATAAGGCGCAAGGTGCGCCGCAAGACCGCTCACAATAGCTCGAGCATATCCGAGGCCGCTCTGCAGGAAACGACCAATCGTAATCAGGACGACTTCCTCAAGGCGGCCATGAGGATCTTCTTGGTGGTGTCGCCGCCGATGGGACGCGTTCAGGTAAACGTTCGCTACCTGTTCGCTACCTGTTCGCTTCTCTATCCAGCCCTTCCATCGTTAAACCCCCTTCATTTTTCCGAGAAAGTAACGTTCGATTCAAATGTACGCGCGCGATGGGAAAAGCAAATTTATACGCACTTTATTTCTTTGAAATTGATAAGCATTTTACCGCATAATTTGTGCTTCGCGAGAGAATTAATCGTATACGTATATATAGGTGAGCTTCTTTTTCCTTGGAAATTGCAATCTATATTCAACAAACAAAACATTCGAAAAAGAAACATTTCATGTTATCGAGGTAAAGAGACGCTTCGCAAAGTCTTCGCGTAATCATACAACTCGAATCCGGTCGGACGCTTTTACTTTATGAAAGGAACTGATAATTGCCTTACGAATCTAAGACGTAGAGACGATTTGCTCTTCTAAGGGACAATCCGGATTTATATGATAAAACGAGATATATATCTATCTCTCTTTCTACTGTCATTCTATTCAAAGTGTAATAAAGAAGATGTCATTATTTTCATTATTTTCCCTTCAATCTTCTCAACAATCGAAGCAATCTACCATCTTAGATCCCAGTTTTATCCGCGTTAATTAAAATATTTCTTTAATATATTCGTTGAAATATATATTTATTTCTACTAAATTATTACACGAATAAATATTTCTCTTTAATTCATTTATTAATATTAAGTATATTAGATTCTCTTCTCTATTAATTATCCTTTTTTTCTGACGCTACGTTTTACGTCATAATACGTCCCTCTCATTAGCTCGGTATAATTTAGATCTTAATTTCGATATATAATTTAAAGGTTATCGCGGAGTGTGTCTCCGATAGATGACAATAATTAATCCTTTAATACCTCGCAAGGAGTGATATCGCGCGGACCGAATATCCATTATAATCGCAATTACGCCAACCGAGAAGCGCATTATTTGTCAACGAGCCGCTTGAAACGAGGACACTCTGTCACTGATGAAACACGAAACAAATTATCTCTTTACGAAATATCCATGCGGCTAAAATACAGGACAGTTTCCGTTACGTTCCCAAGGGTCAGGGAACATTTTCGAAAAGATAGGGAAAAGAGGCAAAAGTCGGAAAATACAAAAAACACGCACGCAACAAATATCCATTATTTTATTACTAGAAAATATCGAAATAATCACTTGTCAAATCACTTATGCACATATCTTAGACACGCGTCTACTACTTCCCCTAGGCAGCATGTTGTCGACCCAGATTACGGAAATTCCATCGTAATATACCGTGGGACGATGTGTTATCTCGTTCGCCGCCTCGCACACTTGCTTCCGCCTGAATTTATCAATCAAACCATGCCTGAATACGCCCGAGCATCGATCGCTCCGGTTAGACAACACCATCGCGATTTCTAATCTACGCTTCGGCTATTCGGTTTCCTTTTTTTATCAGGTGCGGACAGATTCAGTCGCGGTACGCGCGATATAACTCGCCGACTAATCGATTATCGCATCGTTCGCACCGCTGTTCGACCTTTCGTCCGATGTAGCAGCTGTATCCGATGACCCGCTCTTCAACTATGCCATAACTGCGAGGATATTTGCGCGCGATCGTATTATCGCATAAGTAGGGATTAAAGATAATTAACGCGATCATTCTCATCCATATGAGCAACATTTGTTAACATTTGTAATATTGGAGATACCGATTATTTATTAGATATCGATTATGATACTCTCTCTTTCCACGAGAAAATAATTCCGAAATTTTCACAATATTTTTGTAGTATTTTTGTAGTAAACTTGAGAGAAATTACATTAAGCAAAAATGATAAATTACCGATTACGCGGACAATATATTCGTCTAGTGTATTGTTTTTGATTTTATAGCGAATTTATGCGATATTTTCTTTAGAGATAAAATACAAAACTTTTCTTTTCGAAATAAAACAACATGCGTATCGTTGTTTATACAACGATGTTGGTACATCGAATGATTTGTATAGTCGATCCCGATACAGAAAATACAAGGATGCCTTGTACAAAAAATTTTGTACATATCTCTGTGCTTGTTACGTTACTATTTCACTTACTTTAACAAGAATCTCTTTTGAAAATCAAACATTGCATTGCATCTTCGTAAAAGTCGTTATTTTTCCAAGAGATAACCCAGAGCAATTGTATTCGCATATTGTTTTTAATCGTCAACTATTACAATAAAATTTTGATAATGCAATTATTATTAATCCGTTAAATTTGAATTTTACAAATAAATTTTTTCAATCAATCTGAAAATTTAAACGTATAAACTTTAATTTTTTAATCCCGAATAAACTTTTTTCAAACGATATTTATTTTTTTTTCTTTGTTTTATAATCGAGCGCTTTTTTGAACGCTAGTGACAGTGACATTGCAGGTCAAAGATATCTTGCTGACCCAGATTTGGAAGTGTTAGATCGAACAACTATCACGTGATAACATGCATGGGACAAATTCAATGCGTTTCGGTTTGCTTTTTGTGTGCTTTTACATAAGAGAGAATTGGATCCCCATGGGCAGAAATGTATTCTTTTATCATGTGTTGAATTACTTGCGCCTTGTATATTTAATCGCGATCAAAATTTACGATGTGAAACAAATCTAATGTACGATTCCGGAAATAAAACCTGAAGAAGTGGGATAACGATAAATTTAAAGGCACGCAATATTTACTAAGAGTATTCTAGAATGTCAAACGTTTTACAAAAAATTATTATCATCGCTTTAATCTATGTAGCATGAGATGGCATGCGAGATGTAAAGTCACATGAGATTGTTACCAGCATTATTCACTTTTTAAATGATGTAAAAAATTATATCGCTATGCTAATATTAATATGCGCGTTTCAGTTTGCTAAGGTAATGAAATGAATATCTTACGATATAAAAAGTTGTCTTTTTCCTGCATATCACATCTTGTAAAAAGATCTCAAAATGTCATCGAAAATGGTGATATATCTGTGATATCGAGTGACCGTCTCATTTTCTACAGGATAATGTAAAAGAAAAATAGGGGAAAAAGAGATAAATCATTTCTTCGACCATGCGCATACGTTTAAATCGTGAATAATGCTTATTAAACACATTAATATAAAAACCGTAGGAAAAATCTGAAAAAATATTCTTTATTTTGTAGGATATTTTTTTATAATTTTATTAGTTTTTTAATCCATCATCTCGGAGAGATAAGCGTGTCACGCAAAGTATAATTTCCTAAAAATAAATAGCAGGGTATAATATTACTCGAAAATCGAAATAATCGCTAGCGTGAAACGCGCGAATAAAGCTATAAAATAAATCATCGTATTTTAATAATAAATATATAACTTTATTGTGCACCAAAGGTTATGAAACGATAATGAAAATTCCGGTGGCTTAGTTGTAATATGAAACTGCAAGAGAAGTACAATGGGGGAAGAGAGGTAAGGGGGAGGATATATCGGCCATCAAGTGGCCATCTTGCCTGACAGAAGGGAAGAGATGATATTTTACGAGAGATTGATGGGTGGTCGGAAATATAGCGGGTGTAAGTAAACGAGAGAGAGAGAGAGAGAGAGAAAAAAAGAGAGTAAGACGTAAATCGAAAGGGTTCTGATGGCACGTCGGTGTATATATCTGCGATTTCACTCACCTCGGTTATGAAGTCTCGAAAGCGAACGATGGCAGCGGATAATCTTTGGCGCGATGCCAGCTAGCCCAGCTAGGCTTAAACCACCCGGAGGTGGTTTTCTACTTTTCCGCACCGAGACCTTGCCTCTCCATCGAATCTTATCGACTTTAACAGTGCTTCTCAATTTCGAGAAATATATCGGCTTAAAGGTTCGACCATTTCCGATCTATTTGAGCCAAATTTTATCTTCCTGGGGAGTTGAAATTATTATCATCGCATGTTATCTATCCACGTGCAAAAAAAAAGTACAATCTTTTTTTCTTTTTAAACCTATAAATGTACTATAAATGTACGTGGAAATATCGAGAGATTAAAAGAAACAAATTTATAGCTCTAAAAATGCTTTTTCGTCAATTTTACAAAGTGAAACATTAAAAAATGATTCTTATACATAAATAACATCGCTTAGTTTACGAGACGCTATGCGACTGCGCATTCTAGAACGCTTCGTGATTCAAATTTCCTATTGCACGTTTAAAGTAGTTATAGCACATTCGAGGCAATAAACGATGACAAATCGCGATGGCGCGCTAATTAGTTTCTCAGAGTAATTACGATCACGTTTGGAGATATGACGAACAACTTAATGAAGCGCCAGTTTGCGTTTTGATATACAATTTTCCGATTATGAGATTAAATCGGGTCCTATCTAACAGAGTTAACAAGTTTCGTAGTTGCATACCTTCTCTTTGGACGTATTTGTGCTCTCGATAAGGCGTTGACGGAATAAAGCCTCGAGCTATACTTGCGTTAAGCTCCACTTATGCAATAGTTTTGCTTTCCTGTCGCGTCGCATCGGTTTAACTTTTCATAAAACATAGGTCGCGAGTGTCGTTGTGCACCTACAAATAAATATTTCAGAGAATAAGATAAAGCGTCCCCCTAATATAGGATGATTTTCTTAGATATGACGTAGAAAATAAAAACAAAAATAACTCAAAGATATTAAGTGGATTAAAATTTAGTAAAGTTTACGCTCAACTCTTCTCATTAATTATTAATTAAAATTAAACTATAATTAGCTTTGCTTCTTAATTTTTTTAAACTGCATTTACCGAGATATTTAATTTTGACTATTAAAATCACTACGCTATCTTAATTAAGAAAAAAAATTTTATTAAATTTTATTAAATTCTCCTTAACATGTCCTTTACGTGTACGATAGTTTTTCACATTTTCATCAACGAAATATGCACGATAGTTCATTTTCATCGACGAAAAAATTCCGTCTTGTCTTTATTTTAAAATTTACTAGCAAGCGCGGGACAAACTAATTTGATTCAAGTTGCGTGTATTTTCACTC